TTCTAATAATTATATTTTCGGTATACTAATTGTACTAAGTAATACTGTATTTATTAATTATTACCTTTGTTTTAGCAATGGTAATAAAAGCGTGTCTCTTACGGGAATAAAAGTATATCTGAATTAAAAAATCTAAAAAAATTTTTTTTATTTTTTTTTGCTAGTAATATATATTCTAGCAAATAATCACATTGTCGTCGTCAAGCAAGTATTAAGTTGGGGTCGTATGTCTACTAGTGATGCATTGTAGATTATTTTTAAATGCAAAATGTTTGTACACATTCAATATCCACTTTAAATTAAAGAGATGGAAGATGGATCTTCGTGCATTTGTTAATTTTATTTAGAAAATTTTGGAGGAATTTGGATTATAGCCTGTTCACTAAGAAAACTATAGGTGTTGAGAATATTTAAATGTAATTATTATAAATCTTTATTCTTAGTTAAATAAAAAAGCATATTATTTGGTCTACTAAACTAAAAACATCGTCTTGCATTTACCCAAATTTTCTTATTTTCTTATTTTTACATCAATTTTAAACTGCGTGGTAACAGATCAACTCAATTGAACTAATAATAATTTCAGAACCATTAAGTAAACTACATACTGACGTTTTATTGTAATAAACTCCATCACTAACATGTAATGTAAATGTAAAGTTGGCTGTACCGCAGATTAGCTTCTAACCAATTGAGAAAACTGAGAAAAAACCCTCCTTATTTTTTTTTTCTTTTTTTGGAGTCCTTACATATTAAAGATAAACAATGATTACGTATACAATTAGTATTTACATAAATATTTATCATAAATGACTGAGAGTACACACCTCATCAGACTTTCATCAATATGATACATCGTGCGGTGTGCATAAAGCTACAAAGTTACAAACCCAGCCGTCCTGAAATTATTTAAAAATAAACGATTGGTCCTTTCAAAAGAGCAGTGATCTGTGGTAAAATTGATTACCTAGAACCTTCAAATGCTTACCGAACAAACACCAAGCCGTGGTGTATGCATACTATTTTGTTAGTTAGGTATGCCTAAAAAATAGAAGAAATAGGATAGATTAAGCCGAGGCCTAGACAGAGATCGATCTTCGCTGGCCTGACTCGAGAGAAGCGGTTTGAGTATTATTTCTACATGCTTACTTTCGATGATGGAGCGGATGGACCTCGACCTTGGGATCAATCAGCAAAGTCAAGAGCAGCTGCGTGTCTGTAACAAAAGTGTTTTTGATTGATATAACGTGCTCGTTGCTCAATAGGAATTTCTCGTAAGAATGATCACTTTACAACTAAGAATATTCGTGTCTTCGAGCATGTGTGTTAAAAATAATGCAGTTAAATGCTATTAAAAAAAACATTAATTTTTAAAATGCAATTTTTTTTACTCATTTTTGGATGGATTTGATTCTTTTTTGCAGTCAGTAATAAATAACGCGAGTAACAAACTTTTTCCAAAAATCATAAATCAATCTTATCTTGCATAATAATAAATCGAAAATACTAATAATCTCTTCTTTCATGCATTGGCGCAACGTCTAACGATTTAAATTATTTTTTATCAACAGACACTTGTTAACTTATTTATTTTCCTAAAATACTGATTACAGAAAAGTGAGATTGAACGTCCTTTATTTTAAAATTAATGTTAAAATAACTGAGGGGTATAGTTTATTTTTCTTTGTTATTAAATTTTAATCATCATTCTTGCAAATTATATTCTCCCGTTTTTCTAAAATATAAAATAGTAACAGCTTTGCATCCAATCTTTTATTCAACGATATTTTTAAAGAAATTTATAAAAACTGACTTACAAAATATTTCTTAAAAATCAGCTATTAAAATTCATATTAGTCGATTCGCTTGATTAGTTACTTTTTTTTTTACATCACATTCAACCCAAAACTGAGCCATCAGTGCCAGTGAGGCATCTGAGTGTATACTCGATGCACATTTTTTAAATAATTAGAGATTCCTTTAAAATGTAGTTAAGAAAGTAAAATTCTTGTATTTCATATCTCGTTTCATGTTCGTACATATCTCTTATGTAGGTACTTGATATCAGACAAGAAGGAGTTGAAAATTTGCAAGTATTATGCTCTTTTAAATAATCTATTATACTTAAAAATCTGTTTTAAAGCTCTCATGAGTATTTTGAGATTATTTGTATTCTGTATTAAAATACATCTACTCATTAATAAACAATATTTAGACTGTCATGCGTTTATTTATAACCACATTACCCAGAAAATCTAAAAAGAGTCTAACCAGAATTCTTACAATTATTTTACTTTAAATCTTCATGGGTTGGTCATCGTTTATATGAGTGATTTTTATTCTAGTATTCATAAGACTATCATGTATTTCAATGCAATTCACGATCTGTAATGATCCCAGTTAACCGTTAATTTAAAATACCTGTCCATCATTCTACTCTGTAACAAGAACTATGTCAAAGCACGTTTATTGAATAATTTTTATTTCAATAAATATGTATAGCACAACAGACAAATCATTTAAAGTTGAAACATTTGTTAGTATCATGTATTTTACATGCTAGTTTTTACTTTCTGAAATTAAATGCTTGAAAAAAAAAAAAAAAAATTTTAAAGTAAAACCAAAAAATATTTCTTTAGTAGAATAATTTATTTATAATGACTTTTGGTTTGATTACCGAGTAGTTTTTATTAGTGACACAACTATGAAAATATATAATAAGTTGATTAAGGTATATTTGCTTTGTAATCACTTCAGTGGTGGGTTGGATTGTTATTGTATTCCAATTATTCAAGTCAAGAGACGATTGTGAAAAAGGTTATTGACCCCCGTATTTCAGTGGTGAATTAATAAACACGTTACCATTACTTTAGAATCACTTCGAAATTTGTATGAGTAACAAAGATATCTTAGTTGTAATACACTAAAAATAAAGGTTGTGGAAATTTCGTTTCCATGCAGTACTTCCTGCTTATAAAATTGATTTCCTTAATACCAATTGATTTGATTGGTGGTGATGCCATTCGTATACTACATTAACACGAGTCTTACATATTTTATTGTATTGATTCGCAATTTTATGGCAGATTATAGTGATACATTTTTCATGAATCTCGATTTTCCACAAAAATTTTATTTCAATGTAGAAATAACGTGATGTGGTTGAGCAATTTTATTTGAGTAGGTATAAAAACACATTCATCTGAGCTCACAGTAGAGTACAAACTGTAGTCTAGTATAGACCGTATTGTGTATCAATTTTGATACATTTTTTAATGCAGAAACATTGAAAGACAAATAAAATGTTTTTTAAAATGGCAAATATTAATTTTCAAACAACTAATCGACGATAGATTTTTAAACTAATAGTGTATACTTAAAATAATTTTTAAAATAAAACCGGAAACCAAAGATGCCCAGGATCTACAATAAAAAAAGTTTTTTTAACTGTAAAATTGATAGATTAAAAAAAAAATTCACTAGTCTATTATTTAATTTTAGACTCTATAAACTTTTTGGAAGATTTTTCGCTATTTATCCGATCCATAAAAATGCTCCAAAACTCGAAATATTCATGAATCAGTGCATTTGGTATTTTCACTTTATTAACCAAACCGTTTGTATAGGATCGATGATACAATTCGTCTTCTGCAGTAAATCAGATTTATCTACTTTTTTTATATGTGGCATGGAGATACTTATTGGTTTTGAAGTCATCATAGTGCTTTTATATTCTAAATTTCAAGAAACAAAAATCCAGGTATAAATCATATTTTTTTAGCAGTCTTTGATGGTCATTAAAAATAGACTTGGGTGTAATAAACTCTTTCACTCTGCAGTTAAAATAGAAAGGGATAACTCGCATTTTTAGAACAATCAACTTATACCAAGATGCAACATAATTTGTAGCCCACCCAATTACTTGTAGAGATTTTTCCGCATTTTTAGGAACTGATCAAATTATGGAATTGAGGCCCTCAGTTTTTTGTTTACGTTTTTAAACTTTAAGGAGCAGGATAAAGCCACAGGACCAATAGAGTATTAATACCTGATAATAACATAACATAAGAAAAAAAAATCATATCAAAAGCTTTAATAACGAATGTAGGTTTTTGAGACTTACTATCGGGAGCAATTAAAGTTATAAAAAACTTGATAGATACAATGTTAATATTCTAGCAGTGTAAAAGGTCACTTGTTTCTTCATACCTTTCACATTTTCACAGTGGTAAATACGGATTCTAAAAGAATTTTTCATGATTGTAATAGTAAAATATAAACTGATTTTATCAGAAGTTTATTAAAGATAAACAATGATTACGTATACAATTAGTATTTACATAAATATTTATCATAAATGACTGAGAGTACACACCTCATCAGACTTTCATCAATATGATACATCGTGCGGTGTGCATAAAGCTACAAAGTTACAAACCCAGCCGTCCTGAAATTATTTAAAAATAAACGATTGGTCCTTTCAAAAGAGCAGTGATCTGTGGTAAAATTGATTACCTAGNTATTATTATTACTGTGAAGAAAATATTTGTAATAGCAATCGTAGATTTATAATTATTTATAAAAAACTTACGAGTAGGTTTATTACATTTTATAGAAATGTTAAATTTTTACAGAAGTTAGTAAAAATGTTCGAAGATGCACTTTCAAGTCCAAACAAACGGAAAGTGGAACTAATACAAAAGCATGGATTATTCTACATCATGCTGTACGCAATCACAATTGTAACTGCATCTGCCGTAGCTAATTTGATTGTATACAAATCACTTATCAGCGTCCCTGTTCGACTTCCTCTATTTAGTTATTATCCATTTTTGATGGCATTCTCCATCACATGGAATTTAGTATACATTCATCAGATAATTGTTATCGTGTCTGCATTATCTACTATATATCTTGATTCTATAATAGCAACATTCTTTTTTTTGGCAATAGTTGAACTTGAATTACTGAAACAAGACTTTAAAAGCACATATCATTTTAATGATTTGACTCGATGTATTTTAAAACATCAAATGATTCTGTCGTAAGTATTAACACGTAAACTTCATGGCAAAAATCGTAATATTTAAAAAGTTTCATTCACAGGTATCTCATCGAAACTAATTACGTGGGTTGTTTTTTTGTTTTAAAATCACTAATCATGTTATTTCTGTACTTTATTGTTGGAGGTTTGGAAATGTTTACTGTGAGTATAAAACTTTTATAATGTTGTAAAATCAATGTCACTGTGGTAATAACTATTTAACATTCACAGTTTGAGTCGTCTATAGTTACTCGATTGATAGTCATTATACTGATAATTAGTGGAGTTCAAAGATTATATGTATTTTCCCTATTTACTGAAAATTTAAAGCAATTGGTAAAAATGCTATATTTTTATACAATACAAACATTTTTCCAAGAATTATTATATTCACTATAAAAATTTCAACAAAGGGGTTAGACATAGGACTGGCTGTATACTCATCTCAGTGGTACGACCAAAGCCGTAAAAATGCATTAGCTAAGTCCATCGTAATATGCAGAAGTCAAAAACCACTAATTGTATCAATTCCTGGAATATTGGATTCATGGGGAATGAGATATTTAGGTCGTGTAAGTGTCAATTTTTATCAGTCAAGTAAATTCTGATACTTTTAATACTTAAAAACTTGTGTTTTTCAGTTTCTATACTTGGTATTTTCCTACATTATGACTTTGAGAGCGATAATTCAATTGTGATGTGTGAGTCTATTTTTTTATTCTATACAGATACTAATTTTTATAATTTATATGGGCTAGCTTAAGAAGTTCGTATAAATAATCAAACANATTAATGTATAAAATTATACACATCTCTCGTCCATAAGATAAAATTGAAAAAAAAATTTTTTTTGCTCAACTTCTAGAACTCTCTACATAACTGGTCATTTTTATAATATAATGTACATACGTCTCTCTCAACCATTGATTTTTTAATAATCACATTACCTACACAGCTTCCTATATTGACGTACTATCCATTTTCATTGTCGTCTTCCATTATAATCAAACACACACATGCCAGGATGGACAAGATTGGGATCAAAAACTCAGCATTACTAGATAATAAATCTATTCTTCGATTTGTATAAATATTTTTTACTAAAACAACATTTTTTGAATAAAATTTGTACTTTTAACTCCTACTGCTGTATTGTGATTTTTAACTTATTATTAATCAGTAATGAAATGCTGGAAAAAAATTTGTTCATAATATTCTTATGTGATATTGTTAAAAATATGTTAAGGATTATTCACCACTCGTTGTTATCAATACAGCAATCAGCAACTACAGAAACATTTGTCGAATACAATAAAATGACATAAATACTGTAAAAATGAGTTTAAAAAAATAAAATAATAATAATTCAGACAATAAGTTTTTGAGCAAATGATAGTTTTTTTTACCAAGTGGTGCATCATTTAAGGACTATTTTTTCTACTAAGGGTGCAGTAAATTTCCAAAGTCAAAAAATGCCCAGAGTATGAAAAATACATTATTAAAAACTCTTTTGTCTTTTAACAGCTAGATTTAAGACATGAAGTGGTAAAATTGTAAATTTCTATGCTACCTTTCCTACTTTGGTAACTTAAACAGAACACATCAGATAAAGTTCACGTGATACCAAGAAAAAACAGCTTCTCAAGTCTAATGGATTTATTATTAGCTAGTCAGATATGTCTTGTTTTAATAAGCAGTTGTTGTTTGGTTCTTAAAAATTTTAACTTCACAAGTGTTTCGTCAAGTGTTACTTCAGAAAGGACATATTATATAATTGACATCGATTAAAAATCACGTTTGTAACAAATTGTATCTATCAGATGTACGTCATCCATCAGATATATACTTTTATAAATACAGAGGCGATACTTGTATATTATAAAGTTTTAATCATTTCAATTAAATCCAAAAGAAAGATGTGATATTTACTTTTCTGATTTTTCAAGTACGAGGTACTACTTTAAAAAAAAGAGCCTCTTAAAAGTTCAGCCGTCTGTCAGTACAAGGTGATCAGGCATTGTTTATACGGTTTTTATAGATTAATTAAACGTATTATTGTTTGCACCTGATGTTATTTTTTAATACAATTTGGCATAAAATATTCTAAGAATGCTTTTCAAAAATTTCTGTTCAGAGTTGAGATTGATGGAGTAAACATTAACAAGTTAAAAAAAACTTTTAACTGCTAAAAATTTAAATTCCACGGCATGCTTAAGTAAAAATAGTTAAGATTCAATGGTCCAATTTTCAGCTGTTTGTTTCAAAGGCTTTGACTTACCATCAATGTATTTTGTGTAGTTACGATGTTATTTGAAAAAAACCGATCTGGTTAATTATGTAATATTTTAATGAAATAAAAAGTAATTTAGATGTATTATATATATTATACTACTACATTTGACTCAATGTATGCACTACGCACAAAGTGTGTGTATGTGCGATGGTATATAAAAAATAACAAGTTTGGGGGTGTTTTAATAGTACGATTGTACAAATTATTATCAATTAATCAACGAGTCTAAAAGAAACTAACAAATGCATCAAAATAATCGCCACAATCTTAGTATCACTGAAGACGATTTGAGTAATTAATACGTTTTAGTTCTTGTACATTTGAAATAATGTTCGCATTAGAGTCAAATTGATGGGTAGATGTTTTTATACTTTGTTACAATAAATGGACCATTAGTGCATTGATCTGCTATTTAAACGTAGAACTAAATTAATGATATCCTGTTATTTTATTTGAGTCAATATAAAAATATTTTCACTCAAATCAACAGTATAGTGCAGACCGTAATTCAGTTTAGAACGTAGTTTTTTTTTCCTCTTTCGAAAAATTGAATTTATGTTCTAATTTAAATACTCTGATATTTTAATGGATTTTATTATTAAACATAAGTTTTCATTTGAAATTAATAAGTTTTAAAATATCGTTTATAAAAAATCGATAGTAATTTTTACCACAAGTCTAAATGCATAGTGCAAAGTTAAAGATGCACAAGACTAGCGATGTCAAACAGTATTTCAATCATCAGATTTGTAAATTAAAAAAAAAATTTACTAGTCTTTTACTCAGTTTCAGGCTGTATAAACTATACGGAAAATTTTTAGCTATTTATCCGCTCCACAAAAATGCTTCAAAATTTAAAATATTTCTGAGTCAGTGTCTTTGGTATTTTCACTTTATCAACCAAATCGTTTGTATAGGATCGATGATCCGTTTCATCTCCTTTAGTGAATCAGATTTATCTGATTTATTTATATGCGGCATGCTATTAGTCATTGGTATTGAGGTTGTAATAGTATTTTCATATTCTAAATTTCAAGAAGTTAGGTTACAGGTAAGACAGTTAAATGTTTTGAGTATTAAGAATCTATGTGTGTTTAAACACATATAAATACGTGTTTGTTACCACATAATACGTCACCATAAATTGCAGAAGGGGGAAAGCCTTAAAGTTAAAGGGAGTTGTAAATAAATTTAATTAGTGTACTTACATAAATAACTGTAGCTTACTTAGCTTGTAATTCTTGTTATACAGTGTGATAATATACAAACTTTTATCATTATCGATTAAAATAACCACGGGAGTTAAAAAGCAGAAATTTTAATAATGTATATTATCGGAAATACAAGTATGGAAGATGAAAAATTTTATTAAATATATTTCTCTAATAATTAATACAAAAATTTTAAAGAGACTTAATAAATTTTTACAGAAACTGGTCAAAATTTTTGAAGATGCACTTTCAAACGCCGATGATCGAAAAATGGCACTATTAAAAAAGTACGGATTATTGTACATTGGCTGGTATATAATTGCAATTGCAACAGCCTCGAGCATAGCCAATTTGCTTGTATATAAATCAATTTCCAGTGTACCTACACAGCTTCCTATATTGACGTACTATCCATTTTCATTGTCGTCTTCCATTACATGGAATTTAGTATACATTCATCAGGTTATTGCCATTGTGTCAGCATTATCTGGAGTGTATTTTGAGTCTTTAATAACAATGCTTTTCTTTTTGGCGATAATTGAATTAGAACAGCTTAAAAACGAATTTAAAAGTAAAAAATATTTCAAAGACTTGACTCGTTGTATTTTTAAACACCAATTCATTCTGTGGTAAGGATGCGTTATTGAATCATTACAATAAAGTAAAAAAAAAAAAAAAAAAATAAAATAAAAAATTTTTAAAACACTGTCTTGATAGGTATGTTGACCAAACCATCGGCGTGGCTCGATTTATTATTTTGAAATCACTAGTATTAATACCTGTATACTTAATTTTTGGAGGCTTGAGGCTGTTTACTGTGAGTACTAAATTAAATACTTATTTAAGACCTTTTACTGTGACCACTGTATCTGACTTGAAAATATAAAATGGTTAACGAATAAAATTCGTGATAGACCGAGTCTTCAGGAGTAACTCGTTTGTTGAATGCAATATTGGTAATTAACGGACTTCAAAGATTATATATATTTACACTCTGTACTGAAAATTTAAAGCAATTGGTAAGAAAGAAGCACTACAATATACTTTGTTAATTTTTACTTTAAATTATTATCCTTACTGAAAATTGGCACGAAGGGGTTAGACGTAGGACTGGCAGTATATTCATCTCACTGGTACGACCAAAACCGTGAAAATGTATTAGCAAAGTCTATCGTAATATGCCGATGTCAAAAACCAATAGTTGTAGCGATCCCTGGAACATCGGATTCATGGGGTATGAATTATTTAGGTCGCGTAAGTATAAACTTTCATTTGATAATCAATCGTGACAAAAAATTAATGAAATGCTTTTCAGTTTTGCTATTTCATATTTTCGTATATGATGACCATTAGAGCAGTACTTAACTTATGAATCGTAAGCAGACTTTTTTATTCTGGAAATAGTATCTTTGAATGTTTGCCTTTGTAAAAAATAAATTATACATAATTAAGTACTATTCAGAATTTGTTACACCTTGTCAACTGCTTTATTTCCAAACATGAGAATGATAAAATTATAGTCAGCCATATTTATAAACAAACCAGCTGTACTTGCAACTTTATGTAACTGAGTCTTATATGATGTATTGTTTAATTATTGACTATCGTGATGTGTATGTTATGGAAGAAAATATGAGTGTCGAAGACGTCTTAACTTTTTCACAGTAATAAAACAGAGATAATTTAAAATTGATGTAAAACTGATGGTGGGATATTCTTGTAAAATAATGCAATCATTATATTACGTACAGATAAGAATTGTATATGTGATTGGTGCATTGGTTTGTAATATAATGAGTGGTTTATAATAATAACAATAATAATAATAATAATGATAATTTTATTTATTAAAATTTGCCTCACGACTATAACCTAGTATGGAATTTTTTTTATATAAATTAAGCAATTAAGATTATTTTAAATCGAGAGATGATACAATAAAATGGTATTAAATTTGAAACTGATAAATTGACGTCTTAATTTTGATATTTTTGTAAAACCACCATTAAAATATAAAATTTAATATTATAAGAAAAACTATATTACTAATTTTTAAATCATTTCTTAATTAAAATTGAATTGTTTTTATTTGCTGTATAAGATTTTTTTTTGTTTTTTTCACGATCCAGCCAAGACCCTGCCAAAATCTTGGTCTTATCTTGTCTCGATGAGCATTAATTTTATTTCTGTACTATCGACAAAATTATCAGCTGTTGTTAATATCCTGTAATCTTGCGATGAATTTTCCGAAAATTATAATCAAATTCATGTTTTTGCGAGAAACAGAAAAAAAAATTTATTGCCCTTTTAATAAGATTACACCCATTTTTGCTGCCTCGAATTACCTATATACTTTTTTCATCATCAACGAACTAGATTTCCTGGCCTCGCCCTCTTTCATTAAGACAGTAGAAAGGACTTTCAGTCAGCAACGCATCTTTCATTAGTAAACCACTGCCCCCGCATCGAAATTCTCGTATACCTATACAATACACACACAAATCTGAAACGAAGCCAGCAGTGGAGCTTGGAGTCAACGGCGTCACTACAGCGGCTCTCCCAAGCTTCGTTTTTCTAAACTGTGGGGATCCACCCACCGAGTTTTCGTTCCATCCAAGCGTTGAAGGAAAAAAAAGATCATCTCCAGAGGGGTAAAAGAGAAGAGAGACAAAATACTTCGGGTGCCATATGTCGGCGGTGGTATGGTGCCAATGACTTAGTTTTTCCCATTTTCATCCGTGACAAGCACCCGTGGCGCTGCAACAGATGGCTTAGTGAGCCGTACATATGTATACGTGAATGCAGAAGATGGAAATGTGTTGAGGTGAAATTTGGTGTGAGTGTGCAGTAAGGGAGGGGTCAAATGGATGAGAATGATCAAGGGAATTTTGCGGGGCAGAAAGAATAAGATGAATTTGCGATTTTCCATAGGTATAGTATTTATTAATGATTGGAGAGTTGTAACTGCCACTTGGTAGTTTTTGTTGATAAATATTTTTGGGGGTTGAAAGTTTGTACTTTTCAATCTGTCCTCTTAATTTTGCAGAGTATCATGTTGATCTAGTAAAATAGTGTAATTTTGTTCAACTTTTCCGAGTTCCCGAACAATTTTACGCAAAATCGCAAGTTCAAGTTGACTGTCTCAATGTAAATATCGTTTAGATAACGGCATCTATTTCATAAAAAATTAAACTATAATACAAAAATTATGAAGTTACGTTTATTACACAATTGATAATTTGAGTTAACCTACGTGTATTCTTTAGCTCTGATATTATATTCTACTTAATAAGTTACCCAGAGTTTTTTTCTCCTAGTAAATCAAATATCTCATGGAAGTTGTGGCATATTATATTTATGAAACAATACATTTGACTGATATCATAAAAAGAAGTATGGAACATATTAATGTATAAAATTATACACATCTCTCGTCCATAAGATAAAATTGAAAAAAAAATTTTTTTTGCTCAACTTCTAGAACTCTCTACATAACTGGTCATTTTTATAATATAATGTACATACGTCTCTCTCAACCATTGATTTTTTAATAATCACATTATGTATCCAGAGTATGAGATTATTCCTTGAAAGTAAGTGAAAATAAAAATCTTACCCTTTACGTAATCCCCTTCCTTCTTTCCAATTAAAATCGTATAAATTTTGTAGAAAAAATTAAGTGTCACAACTGTATACACTTCATAAAAAATGCCTTTCTATACCCATAATGCTCTTGTATCTATTTTCTTTAAGACTTTCATCATCAACTTAAGATATCTTTAGTTAAGTTAGGGAATTTTCCTGAATGTAATAAAAAAAATTAATAATCATGAAAATTAATTTGAGGCTTTATGTATTTTTATAAATTATTTGCATGATACTAAATAATCATTTTCGTATGAAATTACTGATCAACTAATAGATTTTTTAGAATATTCCCATTATTATACGTTAAAGGTGCATCGTTTTAAAACGATTAAAATATGTCAGAAAAATATTTTCAACAAAAGATGACGAATATGTACATATTTTAATAATTTGAAACAGTTACTTCATAGGACGTAAAAAAATTAATAAGGTATTTAAAAATAACAATATTATAAAACTTGAAAATGCTTGGAATGCAGAAAATATAAGAAAAATAAACGAACTATCCAGCAAAGCTACCCTATATGATACACATTAAACGTCATTCTTAGACGTCTTTTTTTCAGTTCACTACAAACGGTACCTCAGAGCACTAACTGTTTTTTCCTTCATGCCACCGGCGATTGTCCGAAAAACTGACCACAACGTAGTGGTACAAATTTTTTCCCTCCCAAAAAAAATGTACGTATGTATATTCATCAAGATCCTATCCAAGTTATCTCGAGCGAAAAATCTGTGCGCCGACAAAGCAAGAAAGAGCAATGCACTCCCCTTCCAGCCCGGGAATGGAGAATTAAAAGCGCTCTGGGAGAGCTATCAGATGAAAGTGACCCAGAAAAATCTCAGCTCGCATTATAGATACGCCCGTACAAATGCGACACTTTTTTTTAGTGCATTACATGCTCTCGTCTCTCTATAGCCCAACGTATACACATAATACACACACTCGAGCTCAAGGGAGCGTGTAACGCGGTGCGCAAGTGTGTCAGGGGCCATTAAGGCCAATTAACGGGCGGCGGAACATCTGAGGAGGTACACAGTATAGCCCCCATCTCTCACGATCCCCCCGTGCTGAAAACGTGTATCTCGTCATTTAAGCGCCATGTAAATGTAAATCTATTCTTTAAGCGTGGTTATAATTATCTCCAAATACATCTGGCCGTGTTTAAAGATTCGGTTGGTTAATGCTTTTTGTAAAGCAACAGGTACCTTTAAATAAAAAAAGATGCAAACATTGCCGTGGATTCTTTTAAGGAATAACTTTCATGCAAAAATTACATATATTCATTCCATGTTTATAATTATCAATAGCAATATCGGTGGCCAAGGTAAATATACAAATGGTATTGTTCCAAATTCGTATCAACAACAAAGATAGAACGATTCGTGTTGACAGACTTTTCTCGATTCTGTATACTCGAGGGTATAAACTCCGAGGTGAGTGGTAAATCAAAAGCTTTTGCACTCGTGTCACGTGGTGTGTGCCATCCAGCTGACTGTCACGAGGCATTGAAATTTTCGTAAGTAGCCGACCTTCAATCGCGTGCGAGTATACGTCTCTCTCATTTCTCCCCACCACTGGTAACCGAAATGACTTGTTGAGCCTCATGTTCTCCGCTTCGCAATTTTCATTTCTTGTATAGCAAAGGGACACAAACCCGAGTAAAGCCACAATAGGCGCAGTGAAAGTTGGACCCGAGTTGCCATCGGTATACCTATCTGCTACACCATGTGGCAATAAATCCGAACGTATGACGTGGTTCATGTACACTCACATTTATTTAATGAAACACTGATATGAAAATTTAATTCTTTCGCAAGATACGATTCGAGTTCAGTTGGCGCCGTTGCCTAGTGGAAGAGCGAGCGCGTGGTTCTCGTACATACGGCATTTTTAACCTGCGAAGCAGATCGGTGGACACGAGTTTTTTTAAATTATTGGTAACACTCTGCTTGGAGGGACAAGAAAAACTAGAAAATTATCGAGTGTTGCGTTATAAATTATCTTTTGAGCGACACGTGGGAAGTGTTGAAGAACTGAAGTTTTTTAGTTGATGGTATTCGTACGTTGTTAGTGGATATGGCTCTAAACGCCACTTTTAAGGCCATCAAGCCGAATAGATTAATCACCACTGGTTGTCGACGACTTGCCACGGGAGTATGTGACACGTGTGTCGACGTTCAAGACGAAATGCCCGCAGTAGAGTGGAATAAATATCATCTGGGGCCACGGACGCATTACGGAGGACGGTACACGGCGACCCTTTTGCCGGGAATGGGTATCGGTCCCGAGCTCATGGGATACGTCAAAGAGGTAGGTTGTACCCGCGTTGTTATCATCAATTGTACCTGCAATTATTGAATGTGTGCGTAGTACCTATATATCTCAAACGTTCGAAGATTTATAGAAATTAGAGTTACATGCAGGTGCTTTACTGAAATTGTCGAGCAAAAGACAATCGCAAACGTTTCGTTCAATAGTAGTTTGAATTTACAGTGTTTCCAAAGATATTTCGTACGAAAGCAAGACTGAGATTGTAAAAAAAGTGTCATTCTATTGTTTGCACCAACAAGTTTAAGATTTTGTGGGAAAATATAAATTCAATCGACCACGTCCCTGAAATTGAATCTCGTTGGAAACTATACCAATTGAGAAAAAAGTCTTTAGAAATTGATTTATTGAGGATTGAAGCCATAAGTGCTGGTTAATAAATATTTAATTCATAAAGTCCGAGAACAGTTAATATTTAGCATGAGCTTGTATGCATGGAAACGATATCAATGTTCATACAGTTAAAATACATGTATTATCGCTATCTAAAAGTACTTGATAAAAATTGTCTTTTAAAAAAAAACAATTGCTCCACTGATTGGATCTAAATGAAATTGTACTTTTATCAGTGAGCTGTAACTTTTACGTTTAAAATTATTTCATAATCATGTTTTTATGTTTTAGAAATACTGTGGCAAAAAAAAAACAAAACTAGTTTTTAAACATTTTGTGCATTCACCCACAGTTACTTCATTAAAAGTAAAAGGGGAAATTTTTACATAGCATTGCACTGACGAGTATTGTTTTATTCCTAATATTTTCCGATTACCATCTAAGATCAAACCGCGGAAAACACCGCGATTTTCCAGATATTCAGACACATCGGCGCCCCGATAGACTTCGAGGAGATAAACATGGACATGATAAGCCACAACAGCGGCGACTTGTACCACGCCGTGACATCCGTCATTCGAAACGGCATAGCCCTCAAGAGCAACATAAGCCCGTGCAATTCCTGCCAAGTAGATAACTACTCGCCAACAGACAACCACGACGACGCGCTATCGACGACCAACGCAAAGCTCCGAAAGCGCCTCGACCTCTTCGTCAACACGGTCCATTGTAAATCATTTCCCGGGTTGCCGCAGCGCCACGAGCACGTGGACGTCCTCGTGGTCCGGCAAAACACGGAAGGCGAGTACGCCATGCACGAGCACGAGAACGTCAAAGGGGTCGTCGAGAGTATGAAGGTCGTCACGCGCGTCAATGCCGAGAGAGTCATCCGCTACGCTTTCGAAAGCGCTGTGCTGCACAAGAGGAAGAAGGTATACGGGGGGGCATAATGAGATACCGTTTTTTTCTCTCCCCTTTTGAAATTCCGTAAAATAATCGTACGATAGTGGTGATATCGCGACACGGTAGGGTCAATAAATCGATCAAGGGCTGATGACGATCGAGAACAACCAAGTGGTCTTACAAGTTATACCGTGTTTGCTTTTCGATCGAAATTTTGTACTTACCGATAACATTTTTGTTCTCGTTTGTACGAGTGTTCACTGAAAGGGATAACCGATATAATTCCAAATATATGTTTATTCATACGCGCACACACTAGCATTTAGCGTCTTTGGCGTGTCATTGATTGAAGTTAACAAAAAAAAAAAAAAAAAAAAAAAAATGAATTTCAGGTGACCACGGTGCACAAAGCCAACATAATGAAGTTGTCGGACGGCTTGTTCCTCGACATATCGCGGGAGATCGCCAGGGATTACCCCAGCATCGTCCACGACGACATGATAGTGGACGCGGCCTGTATGCGCCTCATCTCCAATCCGAGACAATTTGACGTCATCCTGACGACGAATCTCTACGGGTCCATCGTTTCCAACATATTGTGCGCGATGGTGGGTGGAGCTGGCCTCGTGTCGGGAAAAAACGTGGGCGAGTTCTGCACGAGCTTCGAGCCAGCTACGCGTAGCTCGGGCTTCGAAATTGCCGGGTTGAATTTGGCCAACCCCATTGCCATGCTCAACGCCGCGGCTGACATGCTGGCCCATTTGGGACAAGAAAGCCATGCCCAACTCATTCAACGTGGGATCGAGGGTTGTATCAGGGACAAGGTGTGGACCAAGGATTTGGGTGGCACGGCAACGAGTAGGGAAGTTGTGGACTGCATCTTGCGACACATTGATGTAGCTATAGCTGAGAGCTAGATGATTCGTGAGCGTGCTTTTAGGTTTACTGTAATTTTGGTTTTCATTTTTATTCTTGATTCTTTTTTTTTTTTTTGTTTTTTTTTTGCCGATGAGCAACCTTAGTTTTTTGTTGACACTGAAAGAACAGCTTGTGGCTCGATAAGAATCTTTTTTTTTTTCTTTAATCGATTGTTTAAAATATCCTGCTTGGAGGAAATATATTGTGATCATGCTGAGCTGTAACATTGATCACCACCATGGACCATGAGCCAATTAATTCTCCTTGAGTGCAAATTAATAATTTGTGCCTAATGTATTATTTTACGTGATTATACTTGTGGATAATGATATTAATTAAGAGTGTTTATAATGACTAGATTGTGAATGTTTTAAAAGAGGTTCTTTTTGTACAAAGCTAAACAAAAATGCCATTTTATCTTTATGCCACCCAACCAAGTTGATTGAATAATTTTTGTACTCAGCACAAAAGCTAGGGAAAAGGCTACAGATCTCGTGTTTTTTATTTTTACCTGTAGCTCAGTAGATAATATATTTATCACTTGAGATCTGAAATATTGTAATTTTATACTTTTTAGATGAATTAATTTCATGCCACAATATAATTGATTATGGTATTTTAAATCCTTGATTATTGTATCATTTTAAATATCTTACGTTGTTTGTAGGATTTTAAATTACTTTCAATATATTTTTTTTAATAGTGAATTTTTTTTAACCGAAATTTTTTTTAAGGGTCTTCAAAAAGTTGAAGACTACATTTTTCTGATTATTGTTTAAAATATATAATTGTAACTGATTTTTCAGACTGTTTTGTCAAAAAGTCTGGTTATGAAGAAAGATAATGTTTTACCATTAAAACTGTAAAAAAATTTGTGTCTTCTCTGAATAAAAACATTCGAATACGGTGATAATAAGTGATTATTATTAATTAATACTCCAAAGTCTATATACTAAAATAATTTTATACTTCGAAAACATTACAAACTATTTTCAAGTAGTGCAACTGTTTATTTATTTTTAGACCTCCCTGAAATTTCAGGATCCAAGCTCAAACAGAAACGTTATGTTGCTAGACAGTGAAGCATATCTTCATATTGTAAAAAATAAATAACAATTCATAAATAAAATAAAATACAATACTATTTTTGTAGCATTAAATATTAGACGACGTATCATGGATCAGTATCACTCTTAAGGTCATTATGTATGAAAACAGTCGGTAAAGAAACTAAAAACAGATACATTACACGATCCATACTTCATTTTTCATTTTAAATTGCAATACTTACACGGCTTAAATATTTCATATCCCATGATTCCAATATTCCAGGGAATGATACTCCGAGTGCCTCTTGACTTCGAAATATTACAATAGACTTAGTTAACGCAACTTTATGATTTTTCTCGTACCATAGAGATGAATATACTGCCAATCCTATGTCGTATCCCTAAAAAAATATTCATAATTCATTACGTAAGAATTTAAAAAATGTATATTTGTACGAGTCGTGCTTACCGATTTCTTCAAATTTTCAGTACAGAAAGAGAATACGTATAATCTCAAGATGGCATGAATTATGGAAATTTTTGGTACCATACGCATTGAAATCGGTAACTCTGTCTGCACAAGAGAGAAAACACTTACACTTAAAAACTTTTATGAATCTTTTACCTTAGTTTTGTTACTTACGCTAGAAACGTTCAAACCATGCATAATAAAATACAAAGATAACATTGTGATGGATTTGAGAATGTAAAGACGTGCCAGATGGTTCGTATCATGTAGATATCTGATAAAAAATTTTTAAATGTTACGCAATTTTTATTTTTGACGAAAGTTTGCATAGTACGCTTACCTTATTATACACTGATGTTTAAAAATGCAATAAGCCAAGTCATTGCGATTGTCCGCATTTTTTAATTTACCCTTAAGCTCTTTTAATTCGACTATAGCGAGAAAAAAAAACATCGAAATAAGAGAATCTAAATAAGGAATACATACGGAAGGTACCATCGCAAGCAATTGATGGACATATAGCAAGGCCCACAAAACCGATGAGCTTAAGGAAAACGGATAATGATTCAATAGAGGAAGCTGCATTGGTACGCTAAAAAGTGACTCAAAAATAAACAAAGATACTAAAATTGCTGTGATTCCAAGAGAGGACGCATGCAATTTAATGTAGTGTGAATAATATTTTTTTATTAGAAAAGTTTTCTGATTATCTGCGCATGAGATGAAATCTTCAAAAATTTTTAATAAATTCTATAAAAATAAAAATTTTATTTCAATCATTTTAGCAGTAGTGATTTTTTTTGTATTAAAAAGATAATTATGTTGGTTTACCTGTATCTGTAGTTTCCAAGCCTTAGAATACAACAATATCAGTACGATTTCCAGACTAACGATTAACTCGAAGCCATATATTAAAAAAGTAGATAAATTTGATCCACTATGATAATTTGACAGAGAAATCGACACTGCAAGGAAGGTTTGGTTAAAAATGTAAAAATACCAAATACACTGATATTTCAACTTTGCCAATATCGAAGCATTCTCGTGTGGCGAAGAAACTGCACAGTATTTTCCTATCAATTTGTATACTTGAAAGTTAAAGAGTATCGATAATAATGACACACAATTTTTCTTGGTCTTGTTAACAAAATTTATTCCTTTGTTCCCATACATTTTTCAATTTTTCAACTATACTATTTAATTAGATGCAACTAATAAGTTTCCTAATTTTGTATTTCAGTATACAATTTAAAAAAGTATACGTTCAGTAAAAACAATAAGGTAAAGGTTGAAGTCATAAAGAATATGATACACATCGTATTGCTTCAAGTTCAATAAGGTAGGAACACTAATTGACCAAATGAATATTGGGTACGTACTGTTAATGCACTCTCCTAGTAATGTTTAAATTGTAATGGAACCAGTCAACCGCTTGAATACTTCTAATAAGTGTAATTACAGATGAATAATCGTATACGGTAATGGCGTGTTGCACATCGATCAATTTATTATTTACAGAATCAATAAAGAAATAAGAAATGATTGTTTCATTACAATATAGTGAGTATTTGAATAGATCTCACGATGGCCCTTAGACCTTTACCAGAATGAAATAATATACTACTTACACTATTTTTAATTTAATATTTACGTCAGCTGAAAGTACATTCAAATTACATTTTAGAATTTAATAAATTTGCAGGATAGTCTAGTAAATCAATAGTAAATACAATAAGGAAAAAAAAAAAAATTTTATAATAAAAATAAGAGGTACCTTTAAATAAAAAAAGATGCNCAAGAAAATAATCTCTCAAAATAAACTTAAATTTATTACATCAAGAAAATTTTTCTTATTTGAAAAGAATATTTGGAATAAAAATTAAGATATCTTATTTTAATTACGAGAATATTTACTTAGAATTGTTCAAGTAAATATTTTATTGAACCTAAGAAACTTTTTTTCAGTGTATATATTTATGTAATCAGAAAAGTTAGGGCGAAGAAAGATCTCATATACATTTTTTGTCAATCTTTTTAGTTGATTAGTCAAAAAATTTTACTTCATAGATTGCATACATAATTTAAGCCGGTACTTTCAATTCAACACTTTTCGATTTGTACAATAAATTTCGTCTTTTGATTTAGTTCCAAACTATAAAATTCAAATACATGTAAGTATCAATTGAAGTCCTCAACATTGTGAATATAGTAAACGTGACAGTTACAAAGAATCTTACTACAGATACACATTATTTTAAGCCAATCACAAAGACATCTTTGCGTCGTAATTATAATTTCAATTAATTATAACGAAAATCTAAGAAGCCCAGTGTAATAACTTGAGAAGTACTTGGAAACATAAATACATTTTTTTGAACATACGTCAATGATATTGGATATCGATACTTCAACGGGGTACACTTAATAAGTCTACTTAGTGAATGATAATTACGTACAATAATAAAGTATTGATTAATTAATTAGTAAACAAATTAATTATGCAACAAAAAAATTATAAAAAAGGTATCAAACAGTATTAATAGTATAAACTTTAAATTTATTCTAGTAAGATAAGTGTTCTTTTTTTTACCAAAAACCTAATAAATAAAGAAATATATCGAACTTTCTAGGTTAACATATGTGGACCTTCGCAAAAAATCAAACTGTTTTTGACAAAAACCTCCAGCATCATACGTTATATATTCTTCAACTTAATAATGCCAATAATAATATATAATAGATGAGATTTTTTTCAAGCAACGATTTAACTAGAAAAATGCCGAAGAAAAATTACAAAAAACGGAATAAACCTAGTATGAAATGATTAACGTGCAGAAAGTAAAAATATAGCACCATTTTTTCCCTTCATCCCACAGCGCATTACAAATGCGGCTCCTCCCTTTGCCTTCGCACCTTCAAAATTTTCTTGACAGCACGATGCGATGTAAGTTTTGCCGCCAGCGCCAGCTATAGAGCTACAGTAATCAAGAGTGGGCGTATATATAGGGTGTTACGGAAACGTTGTACCTTCTGTTGATTCCATCGTATGCACGTTTACAATACGAACCACATGCATACAAAAATAAGTAGCCTTTGGGCATGTGCATGGTGTCAGAAAGTGGAGCAGCTCGTAAAGTGAAATGATGATTGTAATTTTTCGAAAGTGGATATGTATTGTGTTTTCGGTTTCTTTTTTGTCCGATAATCGAGGTATTCCTTGCTTTGATGAAGCCATTCTTTCGATCACTAGTTGTTTTATGACTTATTTATGACTAAATTATAAGCTTGTAGCTTTAAAATCATTTTTCAAGGTGGGTGCACGAGTGCCTATTATGCTTCCTGCATCGTTTTGAAAAAATACTGTTAGGTGTGCAGATTTTTTTTTTAATAAGAAAAACAATCGTCTGGATTTATTGCCAGAAGGAATAGCCCAAAGTTAAGGCCTACAATTTCTACAATAACAATCATTCACTTTCCACACATCATGTTTGGATATAGTCAATGAGATAGAATTTTCTTACTTTTTGAATTTTTCCCACTTGATATGAAGTGCAACAAATAAAACTGATACATCTTTCTTGCATTCAACATCCAGTAGATCATACTACATCAATGCCAATCCAAGAAAGTCCCACTAAATTTGTTAAAACAAGCCATGTTGAAGAATCTCATGATAAACCTTTGGAAAATCGCTTCCAAAAACTCATCGGGTCGGTTCTCTTTGAAGATTTGAGCTGTTTTGTTCAGTGAAGTCGTATGCTTTTCTCATTTCAAGATGATTTTACAATACAGACTGAGTTTTTTTTTAGTTCAAAAACGACTTAAGGTAATATAATAAGCTCTCTTTATTTAATTTCATAAAAAATTTAAGGATCCTATAAAAATGTTTGAAAAGTAACAATTACACCAGATTATAAAGTTTCTTGAAATTGTGTAAACGCTATTTAATGAATATTTATATTTAATTATTAACGATTTTTTAAATGTTTTAGTGATAACTTTATAAATATTACCTTTAAACCCATAAATTATTTTGGTTATGAAACATACGTAATTAGGCGTCCTAAAATATCATTGTCAGAGGTTTTCCAATCCAGCAGTTTAATTTTCAAGAAATCTTTTACAACATCATTGAACAGTTTGTCGATACTAGTTAATAACTTGATATTAGTTATAAATTCAAACGTTACATTCAAATTAAAAGAAAAGAGAGTAAATACCTAAATATACACTAAGTGTGCTCGTGTACATATAATTTCACACCATAACACCGGAAAAAAAAGGTTTTACGAGTAAAATCACTCGCAAGAACCCGAGTTTTCAATACAATCATCAGGCATGCTTAAGTATGGTACGACATAATGGATAAAAAAAAAATAACGTAAC